TTCACCATTCCTGGCCAGTGGCAACTGCAAGAAGTGGTGACTCAGTCCACACTACTTCCTGGAGCTCCCATTGACCAGGAATGTGAGCTGCCATACCTGAAGATGCTCAGATAAAATGTTTTGCGACCAGCTAGTGGCTTGCCCTTACAAGCCATGACCCAAAGTCTGAAAACCCCTGGCTTAGACAGTACTCAGACGTGAACTGGAAAGGACTAGTGCATAATTCAGTGGCTGAGGACTCTAGCAACCCTGGTTTTACTTGGCAACTCAGCTACAGATCTTTCATCTAATGGTTACTGAGTCCCTGCTCCTGCCCCTGGCCTTGTATATTTAGATTGTAAGCTCTGTGATAGCACTGTGTATTTACAGTGCACAATTGGACCCCACTCTCCTTTGAAGTTCCAGGCACTACTATAAGAGTAGCTTCAGTACTCTATCTTGAACTATTTTGTTCCATAAAAATCACTCCCACAAGCTTAGACCAGTGCATCATGCATGTATCTGGTTTACACAAGACAAATATACTCTCATCTGTTACAAGTGTTTATTTTGCTGGAAAAAGAGAGGTGGTCAAACGATGCTAAACTTCAGAGAGGAGAAGAGTTACAGGTTATATTCCAAAAATAATGTTGGTGCAGAAGAGACGACTCCAGCGCACAGGCTACAACTAAGGGGAGCAGGCTTTGCAAATCTATGTTAAGATATAGTATTTCATACTTAAAACTAAGACTGGTTATTCACCTTTAAAAACAAACACTATTAAATAGACAAGCTACAAACTGAACTGCAAGAGGAAGACAATTATCCCAAGCACATCTCCAAAAAGAGTAAACTGACACTTGAGTTAAAGTAGGGTGAAGGGTACTAAAGGCCCAAAGAGCAGCAGAGAATAATGGTTCTAGGGTTATAAGAAATAAAAAGGTAAAAAATTATTCAAAGCAATTTCTGAAAAATAAAAAAAAGAAAAGAAATTATTTTCACTATACTTTGAAGAGACACAAATGTCCATTAAGAGGAAATGCATTAGCCGTGATCAGTATGAAGCCCAGCACAGTTTGACACGTACGATATAGATTTCACGTGCAACAGGAACCCGACGTCCAGCCGCACATATCCTACCTGAAAAATAAAAAGCACAATTCATTCAAAGGCCTGAAGACAAATTTCTGCCCTGAAATACACTCAGGCCACCTGGAAACTGCTGTACAAAGAAAAGGCGCATTTCGTAGAGAAGTAGTCAACCAGTGTTCCTGAAAGCCACAAAAAATCAACATGAGAACTTCTTAATGGCTGTGGCATTAATGAAGCTCCCTTTTCCAAGCTGTGTTAATTGGATCCAAAACCAAAGTCACAAAATTGAGCATCATGTTTACTCCTTAGTCCTTTGGCTGTGGTTTGGCCAAACAAGTCCAGGCTTACCACAAAGAGCTCTTGTTTACAGAATTCATTGTGTTTATAGAAAAAAAAACCCGTGTAATGATTATACTGCATTTATTTCCTGTTAAGACAACTATATGAAAACTGAACTCTAAACGGTAAAAAAACAGATTATACTTATATGGAAATAGGTCCTTTAAGGACCAATGATGAGTTTTGAAAGAAGTTGCTCCAGAGCATGTACAGGCAGCCCTCTCTCACTGGAGTCTTTCAAGTTCTTTCAGTTAAAAGATTAAATTTCTAGTCTTTAGACAGCCTTCCTAATCTGACCAGTATATCATATCTCCAAGTCCACAGGCAGATCCAATACTTCTGCTGATGCTCATCATATTGTCAAGCAGCAAAATAAAATAACTAAACTGATTCTATTCACTACTGCTGTTTAGAATTCCATAGGTAGAATCAGGAAGTCAACCACCAAGGTCAAGTATACAATGGCACTTTACAGCACTGTAATTTTCTGGCTCAGGGGTGTGAAAAAACACCTGTTTCTCAAGTGCAGCAAGTTACAGTACTGTAAAGTACCAGTGTGAACCAGTCTACAGCATTGGAAGCCATGCTCCCAACACTGTTTGCTTCTCCCCTCGCAGAAGTGATTTACATAAAGTGTTGGGACAGCTCTCATGCCATGGCCACACTTTCAGTTTAAAGCACTGTTATTGCTGCACCTTAAATGGTTAAGTGTAGATGAAGTCCAAGACAGTTTCACTTTATAGCTGCCTGACAAAGCAAAGACCATGAGAAGGAGCTGAAGCAGCAGAATCCTCATTCTGCCCCTTCCCTACCAACAGCCAGAAGGCTCTAGTGTGGGGAGAATAGAAAGCTCTTTTTTCCAGTAGTCAGAGGGCAATGGAGTGCCAAAGCTACTGGATCTCTAATACAGCATGCTACTGAAGACCAAATGTTTACATGGGGCCCAGGATGGACATCCTGTCTGAAATCCTTGTGCCCGCCCTGCTCCTGGGATGATAAGAGGAACACAGAGGGCTTCCATCAGTGGATTGACCTGGTCCTTTACGAGAAGCCTGCTTCACCAGAACTACTACTGGGTTGCAGGAAAGAGTTTTCCAAGGACAAAGTGTAGTTCTCTTAGAACGTACCTAAACAAAAAGTTTTAGAGGAAGCATCTGCTGTACTGTAGCTATTAGTGTGACTGGGCCAATTAAACAATCACTGAATCTTAATATGGTAAGTGTACCATTAAAGATATAGTATTAGAAAAAAACTGTTCAGTATCTTCTCTGAAACGCAGTAGTGTCAAGATCTCCAGTCCTTTTTAGAAGCTCATCTTCTTTCCACAGATTTAAGTTTCCAGAACATGGGCTAAAAATAGTTCCACAAGTTGAGATCATTTTTGTTAGCAAGTCAAAGACAGCCTGAACTAAACAAGGAGAGAGAGAGAATTAAGAAATCAGCACAGTCACAGAAGATTTTGGGAGAATTCTTCAAAAGCACCAAAATAACAGGCACAAAAGTCAACAGGAGTTAGGCACTCTTGAAAATTTTACCTTTTGGCATTTAAACAATGGCCAAGAAATTTAGGTTTTAAAACTTCATATACTTTACACAAGGTTTCTTTTAATAAGTTTAAAGTGTCCAAGGACCCTACTTACTTGCATAAACTGCTCTCCAAACACATCAGACTCACAGCAGCTGACTTAAGGAATTAAGGGTAAAATGTTTTAAAGTGCCTAAGTGATTTAGGAGACAAAGTCTCAACAGACATGGTAAAAGTCTCAGTGGAGTAGCTGTGTTACTCTGTAAATTAAGAGAGACACATGGTATCTTCTTGGACTGAAATTGAAGCCTATTAGAAGATTTATTGGAAACCCTAGATGAACCTGACAGCTAATTCATTTTGAGAGAGGATGCAGAATGAGCCTAACCAGTGGAGGAAATCATTAGATAAACTCTCCAATATGCTGCCACAAAAGCAATGCCTTGAAATGCACTTCCCTGGCCTCTTCTGCCCTATTCAGACAAGTCACTGAAAAACAATGTTAACTACCAAAGTAGGGTATATATCACTATTTTGGCTAATCTCAGTTCAGAGTACAATGCTGTTATCAGAAGCTTCTGGCTCACATAGTTCTCATTACTATTACATTTGAATGTAGCTATATGTAAGAGGGGAGCCCTGGTAGATTCCTAGGTACTTTCTGCTACAAACAGTGCAATGATAGGATGAGAACCGTTATTCAATATGAGCTCAGTGAAGAATCCTACCGTTTAAACTGCAGACCCTCCCACTACAACAGATTGGCAAGAGAACTGGGCACACCACCTACACCAGGGGTGTATAAAAGGGCTCAGATAGAAGCTAAGAATTCTAGTAGGAGGCCAGAGGATTTTATTAGATTACCTAGAATCACTGGGCACCATGTCAAGCTTCCAGCTGTTTAAAATGAGGCAAGTTAAAGAAGTTGCGGTGAATGAGCCTGTTCCTTGGGAGTAGGCATTATGGGGAGGATGCTCGTTGGCAGGAATGAAGAAGACAGTGACAGTTTTCCTACATGTAAAACAGTCTCCTCCTGACTCTCACGTGAGTTGCAAATTCCAAATATTTTGTGAACAGTATTTGTGGTACTTCAGACTAGTAAGATAGTGCTTCTGCCTTGAAGGCTTTAACTCCCTGACTCATGTCTACTCCTGAAGTCCAAAAATCAGTAGACAAGTGCCAGAAACTTTTCATCTTTGATTAGTCCAGCACATATGACCTTCCCCCTTCTTACATTAGACTATTACAGCTTCCTCTCCATGGAGGCTTCCACGACTTTCTGAAAGCATCTAGTGAGAAGAAATTGCTTAGAGGAAACTATACCCATGCTCCACACAATAGCTGAAAGTCATTTCTAGGCCAAACTCGTTCTCATCGCAATTTACAATGCTCTAGATAGTCTGGGTCCCAAATAGCTTCCCACATCCTATTGCAATGCATGAGTTTGAAGGAACATCACTGCCAAGGGGGGCAGGGCTCTCAGCAACCCTCTCCTCATAAGTCTGGGCTTGACTATTCTTAGAGTATAGTGATACTGCACTCATGCTACGGCCTTTAACTGCAGGAATTTGAATCCCCTTGACAATTAATCTCCTGGCTAAATCCCCATAATTCAATTTCTGGTCTTATTAGTATAGCTGTACTGCAGTAGCATAGGTGATAAAAACACGCTCTACTTGTGGGAAGTATTCCAAGTCTACATGTGTGCCTATTTCAGTTATATTCACAATGCAGAAGATACTCTGGTGACCTCAGAAACACATGCAGTATTTCTGGACTTGACTCAGTTTACATTTCATTTTTGCATCCTTGCTTTAGCAAGTGTCTACTTACAGATAAAAGGCCTGATGTACTATTGATTTAAAGGATCAGAGCTGGCCCAAATGCCTGACAAATGAAATTCAGAGTTTAATATGTGTAAGACACTTTTTGCTAGCATCCAGTGATACAAGACCAAACAGGCCCCCAGAACACTGTATTAGATACTTAAAACTAGGAAGAGGATACCCGTGTCCTCAAAGTATCAGAACAAAAACCTATGAACTAGACCGGAAAGTGCTCTCACCTCCAACTCAAAACGCAGAATACCGCGCCCTGTCCACATACGACTCCCGCCCGAACCGCTGAACATCGTAGAGGGAGGCCCGAGCGACCGACGAGACTGGAGACAGCTGACAACGTTCGTAACCGTACGCCTCTCCGACGGTGGTGGCCGCGGTTGCCGTGCGACGCAGGGGGCTTCTATCCCGGGTGTAATAGGTGGAGGATGCAGCTGCTGCGGCTGCGGGGGGGTGCAGCGACTGCTGCTGCTGCTCCCGGGGTTGGCAGCAGTGCTCTATCATAAGGGTCTAGGGTAGTAGTGAGGCGATTGGCCATGGCTGTGGTGGCGGCCATGGCTGTGGTTTGTACTTGAGAGTATTGCGCATACTGAGAATACTGGGCCATTGTTTGCTCTGCATAGGCGTCGTATGCAGATGCCGTAGCATAGGGCCTCACGCGATATCTTTTGTAGTAGTCGACCATTGCTCCATACCCATCATCGTAATACATGGTTTCCCCATAGCCCGCGGGGTAGGGAGTGCGCACCGCTCCATACTGCTCATTATAGGTTTCGGTAAAGTCAGGCACTTGCCCCGTGCGATCTACCGGACACTCTTTAGACCAGTGCCCTTCTTTCCCGCACCGATAGCAGCCGCTCTTGTCTCCCATCCCGGGCGCGGTCCTGAGCCGACTGGTGGACAACTGCACGTGCATCCGCTTGCCTTTAAGAAACAGACGCAAGAATGGTTGCTATAATAAACTGACGCCACATGGGAAACCACAAGATTTGTAACAAAAACAACGCATATTAAATATTTGATTTAAAATGATCAAGACAAGCTGATTGATTCACCCCCTCAGTATATCTAACCTGATTCTACAACCATTAAGCATTCTGTCCATGAGTCAAAACAACTTTTCCTGTCAGCTTTTATGCTTTTGGCTCCTGGCTGTCTAATATTTACTCACATGAAGTGGTGCAGAGACCCAAGAGCAGACAGAGTTCCCAAGATCTGCCAATAATTGTATCTGGCTTGGAATGGTTACAGATGGAACTCTGGGAGGAAACACATCCTGACAAATTCCAAGATGACTTTTCAGAAGGTATCCATATTATCAACAGAGCAGATCCAAGAACACCATAATATGAACTACCACACTCAGCAAGAGGGTTCAAGTTCAAGAAAGATGCATACATTTTCAGCCCAAGTACAATTCAAAATAGTCTGGACCAGATGGGATCGACTGGTAGATCTTGGAGCCTCTGACAGGTGATCCTGACTGGTTTGGCCAAGAGGCTATTATCAAATGCCAACACTTCAGCTGCCCCCTCCCCCTACTGCTGCGCATCTCCTGCCCTTTGCCTTGGAGCTGCCCGTCCCTCTGGGGAGCCTCCTGCTTTCTGTGTAGGGCAGGAGAGGAAGTGGAGGGGTGCTGTCATCAAGGTGCCCCCTCCCACTCTGTATCCTTTCTCCACAGAGCAGAGAGGGGGCACAGCAGGGCTTGGGAGGGAGTTTGCTGTCTGCTTTAGAGAATGGTACAGGGCCAGGGCAGGGTTAAGTCTGCCTTAGCCCCACTGCACTACCATCCAGGAGCCACCTGAGGTAAGCAGGGTAAAGCTGGAGCCCACATCTTGAAACCCTACCCCAGTCATGAACTTCCAACCCCTGCCCTAGCCCCGAGCACTCCAGATCCCTTAATCCAAGACCAGAGCCTGCAGCCCAACCCTCTGCCACAGCCTGATGAAAGTGAGTGAGGATGGGCAAGAGAGGGAGGATGGAATGAGCAGGGGGACAGGGCCTTGGAGAAGGGGCAGGAAGGAGGCAGGGACAGGGCATTTATATTTGAAGTAGATCTTGGATTGCACTTTAAATTCAGAAAGTGATCTTCTGCTTAAAAAGGTTGGAGACCCCTGGTCTAGACTCTCTGGCTTCTACTTCCAGGCCTGGTGAAGGCTGTGCATTACCAGAAGGGTAGAAAAACTCACACCACAGCAATCTTATGGCAGGTGATTTGCAGAGCAGCTAAACCCACCAAGCAGGCCACAAGGGAAAATAGATGTTAGTTGGCAGAAAGGGCACTATATACATTGGGATGGCTCCTAGCAATGTCCAAAGAGATCTTTAGTCCCTTTTTTAAAAACACAAAGCCTGCAGCACCTGATGGGAAGTAGCAGGTTGGATATAGAAGTTATGGGCTCTGTGGACAAAGCATTGTGGAATTATTGTGCTTGTGGCTTTCCATTGCTTATAGTCAGGTTTATGGAAAAACAGTGAAGTCACTGGAAGCTGCTCTAAAATATCAAGCCACTTAGACGCCTTTATAGCATTCTTGATATAGTGTAAGTTTAAAGTGCCAAGTTTGAAAGCACTAACAAAACTGTGCAAATGCACGTTAGCTATAAGCCTATGGATCATTAGCAGTTTTGTTAAGAGCAATTTGCTCTTCTATATGAAAAGGCTACACACAAAATTTCTCACACTGCAATCACTTTTGCTACCTGTTTTCAATATCAGCAAGTCCTACAAAACTCGTGTTAGATTTTTCTCTGGCAGTTTTCTTTACCTAGATGTCTTAGCTGATTGAATACAGCAAGTGAGTTTCTCCTTTCTGAAGAGGTAATCTATTCTATTTAGATTCTTATACCATGCACCTAAGAACAGCAAGAATGCTGTAGTTCCATGCTAAATATAGATGATGTAGTATAAAGAAAGAAGATTTGCCAGTTAGCCCAAAGCAAAGGAGCATTTCAGATCAGAAACTGTCTGTTTGTCACTTATAGTCTGACTACAAGACAAGAGTCTGAATAGAGACACTACAAAGGAATTCTTGGTATGAAACAACCAGAACTTCAAGGAACATAATGTAGGGACCCTTCTGGTTGATAAATAAGTTCAGATTTAAGTATAGCACTTTTGCTGCTAACCTAAAAAATATTTGTTTGAATTACTGTGCTTTCAGTGCATTACAGCTAGTTTTTTTTTTTAAATCACCATTCTTGCACTTTGCAATCTACAAAAGTAGAGGTGAGGTGGTCCCTCCAACTGGATGACACTGAATGAGCTTCTGCACATGAAGCTGGAAGAGAAGAGAGTATTGTAACCTTAACATACTATTCTGTCTCCGACACAGCATCCAGTCTCTCAGCATTCAGAAAGCCAGAGCTCAGATTATATCCTACATCAAGAGACACCATTTCAGTGAGATGTTGCAGAACATAAATCACAACAAAATCCAGTAATCATTTAGCCAGAAAGTCCATAAACAGTCCCAGTATAAATGCACAAGCTGATGGGTGATCTCTTGCCAACTTGACTTACCTTAAGTTACAGAGTTATATAGCCAGTGTTGTAGGGTAGCAAAGCAACTTACCACAATGGCACTCACCAGACATAGAAGGAAACCATGGCATTCGCTGTCCTACTGTGCTTCACATGAAGTGTCTGAGACTGATACTATACAGGTAAGAAAAGTGCTATAGGTTCTGGGCTGGAAAATTCTTTACACAATACTTGACTGTAGCAAGCTAGGGATGTTACACAGCGTGTAATTGAAAAGTCGTGTAACTGCATACAATTTTAGCAGTTTCTGGAGGCAAGGCTGGAAGCCAGTGTGCTCTCGGCCCCACTCCTGGGGAGTCCCCTGCCACCCCATGCTGCTACTTCTCTATCAGAGGAAGCAGCATGGTGTGACAGCAGCACCTGTCCATGGGGGTTCAAGCTCCCCGTGGACAGAGGCTCTGTAGCAGCAGCAGCCCCTGTCCATGTAGAGCCCGCGTACGCTGCAGACAGAGGCTGCTTTGAGAGGCAGCCTCCCTGTCCATATCCCTAGCTGCTGTCTCTGTAGGGGGCAGCATGGGTGGGGGCAGGCAAGTCCATAAAGCCAGCTACCTGCACGTATTGTCTCCAATCTGCCCCCACCCTCAGCACTGCTGCTTCTCTATTAGAGGCAACATCGTGGGCGGGGGCGGGGGGGAGGGGAGAAGAGACCCACAAGGATCCAGTGCTCCCCTACTTACTGCCTCTGATATAGAGAATGGGGAGGGAGGGGGGAGGAGAGAAACACATGCACTCAACAGGATTAACTGAAAAGCCCAGGCTTTTCAGTTAATCATGTAATTGTCTACACACTGACATCCCTAATTTAGAGCCAGCCCTTGAGCAGCCCTTTTTATATTCCATTTTATCATGAGGGATGGGCTAGATTCAACCAACAGTACTTTCCATGCCACTCTGATGCATATGTGATTAAAAACCCTATCACACTGAATACTTAAAAAGAGGGTATATTCTGCACAGAACTCTGCCAAGATATCACATGGTCAGAAATACCTCCACATAGACCCAGTTAAAAATATCTACTCTTAGACAGCTGTCAGGAGCTTAACACCAAAGTTTGGGTGTACATTTAACTGAAATAAGCATGCCCTCTTGTTCCCAAGCATTTCTTTGAACAAGTCCCACCTGGGCCTTCTTCCTCAAACATCACTTCTACAAAAGGGACGTAGGCTGCCAGGATACATTTCTGTGAAGATGTTCTGGGTGCAATATGGCCACCTTCCCCATGTTATAGATCAAGTGCACTATTTTCAAAAGTTCTCATGTCATTTTAGAAAATAGGTTTTAACCTTCTGTGTGTCGTGCCAACACAATGTGACAGCACACATACCTAGCCAACATGTCTCAAATCCTGAGCTGGAGGGCTACTTTGAAGAGAGGCAAGATTCACTCTTCAAAGCTAGCTCAATCTTTTGACTTTCCAAAAAAGCTGCCAATTGCAGTGTTTATGAAAGTTGTATACTTGCTCAAAAGGAACTGGGCTGAGACCCCCTTCCCCCCCAGCTTATTCCATGGGGATTGTGGAAATACTGAAGCAAAATGCAGGACAATGTAGCACTTTAAAGACTAACAAGATGGTTTATTAGATGATGAGCTTTCGTGGGCCAGACCCACTTCTATGAGTGGTCTTGGAACATGTTCAGATGAAAATGAAATCGTATTTCACCGAACACAGAAACTAATGAAAATATTTCTGTCAATAATTAGGCAACATAAGAAAAATGTTGCCTGAGAAACTTTTGAGAGTTTGATTGATTGAAGGATATTTACTTTGTATATTTTAGTATGTAATGTGGACAATTTGTGTTTTAACTCTTATATAAATATTTCGTCTTTTTGAATCTCAATGTCTGTTATTAAATAATTATTGTCCAACCCTGTCTCCCCTAATTTTACACAACTGTGAACATTTAAATCAATAAAAGTCTAAAAAATAATCACTATCCAACAGAGTTTCATAAAAATAAAAATCAAATTCTGCCAACCTCAGCTTTAGCGTGTTAATGGCTTTTGGTCACTGAGACTGGGAAAGGATTGGTGGCAAGGTGCAAAATATCTGAATATCAATCTGCCTCTGTTAATCTCCACATCCTCTGTTACATAATCTGAATAATATCACTGAGAAAACTATTTTTGCCCATCACTAGAAAAAGAACACAAAATGTCTTAGACTAGATACAGAGTAGAAAAATTTGTCTGTTAGTAGAAACATGAAACAAGTGCTCATGCATTAATAGCAGCAATGCCACAAGCTTCAAATGGCTAATCCAGACCTCCTTAAGATCCCCATTATTTCTACATAGGCCAGATGGTGTATCCAATGCAGCATTTTGGACCCAAGACAATCAGGCCTCCAGCCATATACCATTTCTTTTACAGAGATGCCTTAAGATAACCTGACAGCAGCTGCAAAGAGATGACAAGTACTTTGTTCTAAACAGAAGAGCAGCTGTGTCTTTAATACAGATTATTTCTACAAACCACTAATCGGTTAACTTTTGGTATGAGGTGCTGAGAGATCCAGAATCACTTTCAATGGCTGTAACCAGAAAAGCCCCCTAACCACACTCACAGATAGATTCTCAGCCTAGCTTCCAAGACTAGCTATAACTTACCCATTGTAGGACCCAAAGGTTTGTGCACAGGTGTAACACTACAGTCTACAAGTCCATTTCCTTTCCACATTGCAATAAAAGATGGCTTTTGTACTGCCAGAACAGAGAGAGCTCATACAACCAAACATTATAAACAACAAAAATAGCACATCTACTTTGTTGCCACTGTTCAGTGTCGATAAATGGAAAGTATTCCCTGCAATGGGCATTACTCTGAATGCATATGAAGTTCCTATATTAGCTAGACCAACTCTGCAAGAGGTCCGGCACCACTCAGGACAGGTGAAGGGAAACTCTGCTCAGTGTATAGGAAAGCGCTAAGGTACATAAGAAATTGAATGGAGAATCCTGAATACCACCATCCTATAAATCGTGAGGACACCTCCTCCTAGAGTACTATACTCTATTTTGGTTACCCCCTAACTCCATAAAGTAGAGTTCAAGAACAGATGCAGCAAAACAGCTGAAGAAATGTATGAGACTGGAAAAACTCTCATATGAAGAAACTAGAAGATTTACCTGGCATTGCTAGGGTCCTAAATGCAAACAATTTTTGTTTTTCTTAATTTAAATCATTGCTCTGGGATGGGGGAGGGGCCAGTATGTAGGCTGTCTTGCAGCAGCTTGAGGTCTATGACCACTGCAGCAGGCACAGTATGTCCCTCAGCTGGGGGGGACAAACAAAAACAGACAAACGCTCTGAAATATATAGCAGAAAGTGGTCCCTTTCTCCATCTCTGCCAGTACAACTGGGGTATAGCTGTTCTGGGCCCCATCTGGTCCCTAGCTGTGCCCCGTGGTCATTCTACAGTATAACTGTGCCTCCTGCCAGACCCCTCTCGATACGCAAATGACTAGTTGAGTAGTCAACTATCTGATAAGCAAATGCTTATCAACACAGTAGTCGACTAGTCATTTCCATTCCCCTTACTCTATCAGAAAGAGGCAGCAAGGGGCGGAGAAAAGAGAGGGTGCTTCAAAGCGGCAGCACCATGTGGAGCCCAGGTCC